AGAGAGAGAGAGAGAGAGAGAGAGAGAGAGAGAGAGAGAGAGAGAGAAAATATGTTTACCTCCTGTGGATTGACATCGACTGCATAGGCTTCCCTTCTGGAGAGGTTCCCAAAGTGAAGAGAGACGGAGTCGGAGAGAAGAAACAGACATAGACTGGCAAACAGAAGTTTTAGTCAAACCAACATTTTTTTAGAGAGAGAACTGCTTTCATAGTTTACTTTAGTGGGTGAAGTCAAAGTTTTACTTCTCATATGATGCTAGATGTTTGAGTCAGAATAGGATATAAAATCATCACCATTGGAGTTTGGATTATGCAGTATGCATTTCCTCCTATATCATTTTTGATATAATGGCAGCACATTATATCTCTACCCCTTTTCCAAGAAAACGTACGTATGAACCTGAACATGAGCACGATACGTCCCCTTTAAAGGCAGAAAGTCAGAATCTCAGAATTCTGACTTTAAACTCAGAACCCAAATAAACCTTTCACATGTGGCACCAATCCTCTTCTGTAGGGTTCATTCTCTTTAAGGTGATACAAATTCATCCTGGAGAGCAGCCGCTACAACTCCAATCCACAGCTGACAGACGCTGTGGGGGAAAGAAAGGGAAAGGGAAACAGGTTTCCAGTGTCTTCTCAGACATAATAGAAGCTGTCAGTGCCAAGCTGCACCTCCTCCGTCTCTGCCACCTCACAACTCCTCTCCATCTGCACCGGGCTGTCTGCTCAATTCAAATGCTCCACTTGTCAAACTGCAGACAGCCTGTTGAGCAAGGCGGCACATTTCTCAGTTCATTTTCTTCAAGGAAATTAGGCCACAGCTGACCTTTTTTCTTTAAACTGCTGTTTCCTTGCCACGAAACGTCACTTTCACAGTCTTTTTACAGGCCCTTTTAATGAGTCAGGAGTCTAAAGAAACTGCAATGGTTTCCTTGTGTGTCTAGTAAATTGGTAAAAATATAGCTTTACTGATACCTCACTGGGCAGAATGACAAATCAACCTCGGTTTTTTTTTTTAACAGGCCAATTTTCCGCCGGCTCTTATGATGCCTTGTTTTTTTTAATGCCTGATCCTCTTTATTGTGGCAACTTAAGGGAGAAAAAAAACACATTACCAGAAAAAGAGCAAATAGCAATAGTATTTAACGATCATTATATGGGGATAACAGAAAGATTCCTATGTGAACAGGAGAAATAAGAGGTTTGAAAGTTGAGTCGAGTTGTCAGTTTCCAGTCGTCGTGCATTGACGAGCCCACCAGCTGTTGGAGCATGTTGGGATTCCACACGGCGATGAAGTCAAGGTTTCTCTCATCCACGAAAAAGGTCGCTCATCTCTTTGCTATGACTCTTTTTAGGATTGCATCAGATTTCTCTCTCTCTCTGTCCCAGGTCTGTTAGACTGAGGAGTTGAGCCCACGAGTGGCGGGTCAGACAGTATGACGTGTAGCTGTTTTATATATCGCTGATATCACTGATAAAAATAACAACGCTCATACCATTTCTTCATTTCTGTTGGGAGCCAAGTAGGTGGATTATTTTCTGATTTGTCATTGTGTAACTCTTCTTTTCTCTCTCTCTCTCTTTTTCAGACGGTCACCACCTCTGGGAGACTGAGGCCAAGGTTGACCAAGACGCCTCAAAGCCTGTAAGTGATACATGTGGCGCCGTTATCGTGACGAATCCGGTCTCATTTCAGGATTAAAGCGTTGACAACGCCGCAGCTGCTCTCAAATATTTAACTGAATTAAGTGGCAAAACATATTCGGTCTTCACATGAAAAACCAAACTGATCGTAGGGAAGCCCTGAGACGGAAGTGAAAAGACATTCTGGTGCTCTATTTCCTAAGTCTGATCTCTACTGTTTTCTCTCCTGTCTTGAGAACAGGATAATTTTTCTAAGTGTTGTTATACTCATTTTGGCCACAAGAGGCTGAATTGTGCCACAGCCCCATGTTCTAAATATGCCTCAAAGTATTCATGTGTT